CCAACCATTAAATAATTGATAATATATATGTATATTTTTCAGAAAATTGTTACTGCCATTAAAACAAATTTTTCATGCTTGGATAAAACTGCTGGATTTTATGCTGATATTGATGCCAGATGTAAAATATATCACACTTGTGATGAATATGGAAACAAATTTACATATCGTTGTCCAGAAGAAACTGCTTTTCGACAAGATGCTTTAATATGTGATCATGCACATCTTGTTAACTGTGAAGAAATTATTCCTTTCCACATAGAAAACTTAAAAAAGAAGCACCAAAATTCTTCTTGCATAAATGGATCAATGGATGATAATAACTGTCAATACTTTTTTCAATCATCAAGAGACACGCAAACAAGAGCAACGCAGAATGTTATGCAACATGGATTTACATTGAATTTACATAGGTTTCTAAAAAATTTTAATGAAACAAATCTCAACAAAGACAATACAATGAAATTTTTACCTCCACAAATTGAAAAATCTTGGAATCAACAAATTCAATTGAGGACAAATGAAAATTTCTCTAAAGGAAGTCAAATTTTTAACAACAACAATAAACTCAATGAAATGAAAGACTCTATTCAAGAAGATTATTTCAATAAGAAAACAAATATTACATTGCATCATTTTCTGAGATTACCAGCACAAACATTTCCTGGGAACATGCGACATCAACAGAATAACAAAAATAATAGTCAGACTACAAAAACTTCTTCAGATATTCCAAAATTGTCTTTTGACAATAATAGAAATAATCCTTATACAGAAACTTTAAATTCTATACAAAAACTACCAAAAATATCTTCAACTGGAATCAGTGCTGTTATATCAAACACAACTACAGAGATACCTATTTATGCTCTGACTTTATCATTGAAACCCTTGATACCAAGGGAATTAGAATATGATCCTTACTATCCACAATCGACATCTACAGAATCATATTACACGCCAAGTCACAGTAATAAGAAACTATCTTATGCCAAATCTTTTACCCAAAATACATGGTCTAATACCCACATTGAGCTCCCACCAGTTTTACCGGATTTGCGATTGTTGGAGGATATTGTTGATCGGAGAAAGCTATTTTATATCCCCCGAATTTAATTAAATACAGATATTTTCTCTTGTTTTTGTAATGTTTAAGACTATCCACCAGAAATCCTAGATTATCATTTTAATGAACCTTTGCTAAATTACAATACTTTTTAAATCAAATTAATAATAGCTGGTGTCAGACTTTTTATCTAATAATTTACAAGTATTAACAATTTAAAGTTGTATCATATCTATTATATTTATAAAAATTCAAACAAACATTACTATATCTCTCCTCTTTTGCCAATTAAGTAATGGTTCTGTAACGACGTAAAATACGAGTGTAAATTAAAAATTTAACAACATTTGCGAAAGAAATTATTGAAATAAAAGTGGACATTTTTATTTGACAATGCTGAAAGCTATATTTTTAGTTGTTCAATATTCTTGCCAAAAACATGTGTTTTTCTTTGTTCTTCTATATTATAATCACGCGAATCACATTTATTTATACAAAAATAATTATGACTTGTTTAAGTATAGACATCTGATTTTTCACATTCACGTTTATTTCAAATACATAGATGTATTTCCATGGCACACCATCGGAGACACTCGGCGCGATATTCGACTTGTACTTTTATAAACACGTATATTATTAAACGAAAAAGACAGGTAGATACATAAGAATTACCCGATTTTTAGCAATGCCTTCAAACAAGCAAAATTTGTTTTAAATAAAATTTATTACTGGAAGTAAGTTTCATTGTAAGTAACACATTCTTCAACAAATTACTTCATTAACGAATGGTGGCTTTATGTATTACGTTTTGACCATGTAGTGTCACTGTTGCATCCAATATCACTCGTACAACAAATATACATATGATAATCACGTTGACGGAGAGTAAGATAAGCTTTATCTTCAAGTAAAATTAAGTTTCCATAGATTAGATTCCGATCTTAGAAAAATGGTATTTAATTGGATTGATAGAAACGTTTCATAATATAGATATTAAAAAAAGTAATATACTTTGATGCTTTATACATGACAATGTATTACTATATGTACTTATAAGATGAAAAATATACTGTGCAAATAGTATTTTTATTTGCATAGCTATATTTAACAGTATATAAAAAAATATATTACAATTATAGTTTCTAAGTAAACGCTGATTTTAGAAGAAATGTATCATAATTATTTAGTGTTCGTCTAACAATAAATGTACACATCAAATCATTTTCTAAAGAAAGAACTGTAAATAAAGTACTACACCCCAATTTCGATAACAAATCTTTCCTGGCAATAATAGTTGCAAACATACATTCTAAATTTTGCAATGTATCTTACTGTAAATTGTTTACAAAATGCTTAACAAGTAATACTAATTTAATATACAGAGAGTGTCCTTTGAACCTTTCATGTTCGAAAACAGGAAAACGATAAATATCGAAATTTAAAAAGGATGCATATTTAATTATTGATAGTCATTGTATAAGCGTGACAGTTTAGAAATAATAAAATTACAAAAATAATAAAATAAAATTACACTTTGAATTAA